AAGGATTTGTATCACTTAGGCAATGTGCTTATAGCCTCTTTCACCTAATTATCCCTGAGCTGATGATCTGAGACTACTTTGTGGATATGAGGACAGAATTTTGCCTGCAGGATGCACGATTACCACACGATTACCAACTGTGCCTCTTCTATGAATCAGTTGTATTTGGAATAACTGCCAGGCCAGTTTCTGAGCTTACCAGAGGACAGAGCTCCAGCAAACACAGTCCCACATGGCACAGAGCTGTTGCAGTTTTAAAATCAGTCTGATTTTTTTCTTTAACAGGGGAGCCCAGTGTAACTCCGTCAAGCCTGGAGTGACACTCTGAATCTGCATCTGCCTCATGTGAGTTAAAATCCTGGCAGCAGCATTTTGCATAAGCTGGAGCCTCTGTAGAGAGCTTTTTTTTTCTTTTTTTTTTTTTTTTTCCTTTTCAGGAAGGCTATAAAATTGTAACTGTATGTGTCTTGGCAGCAAAGGTAAACACAACCACACAAATGCATGAGAATTGCATACCTTACTGCACAACCCCTGCTCATTCCAGACCAGCTTCCCCCCTCAGCATGTCCTGTGTCAGTCAGGGATGCCCGCACTCGTCACAGGCCTGAAGGCTTGCAGTGTTCACTTGGGTACTGCTTTTTACCTCTTAATGGTGTATTGTTAAGCCAAGTAATGGTATTAAGAGGAAGCTGGAGTGCTGTCAACTGGCTTCTGTTTTTTTTAAAACCTTTAGTTGTTTTCTTTCCACCTCAGTTGCATAATCCATGAGCACTGGGTGCTGATTGCCCTGTGCTGCTGAAGCATTTGCCTGTGTTGGAACAGGACTATTAAAATAACAATTCCTCTGGAGCTGGAGACTTGGCTTTGTGGCAAAGACATGGCCATCAAGCAGTAAGAAAAGGAAATCAGAATAAGTTGTAGCACATGCTTTGGTTTTACTAACATCCCATGTGTGTTGGGCAAGGATGGTGTGAAAATGTGTCTGTGGCTCTGCCTCCTCCCCTGTCACAGAGCTGGGAAGGCTCAAAGACTGCCCTTCTCAGCTGAGTGAAAGAGCTGGGCACGGGAGACTGCATGGCAAATAACTGAATTCATGACTTGTCCATGGCACACAAACTGTCTCCATCAGGGGTACCAGGATTCAGCAACCAGGTGTGAGGGAGAGAACATTGTAGCAAAGTTTAAAATCATGTTTTCATCATGCAGCTGCAGAAAAAAGTATTGAGCTTCCTCTCTACTCTATTTCCTCATGGCTGCATGAAGACATGAGAGAACAACCAGCCCTGAGTACAATACTGAAATAATGGAGTAATACCTGTAATTGGGGCATCTTCCCCAAATGTGCTGCCAGAGTTGCAGAGATATCAGCCTGTCCATTCTTGATCTGAGGAGGTGGATGGTTTGTTTGCCCAGAGGAAGCTTCAGTTACTCAAACAGGCTTATGAGAAATGTCAGGGGGTTGTGGCTCATTCCAGCTGATGCAGCCAGTGCTGTGGTTGTGGGTGCTGTCAGGGTGGGCTCAGGGAGCTCTGTCTCTTCCCAGCTGTGTGCCTAATTAAATGAAAGTTTATCTGGAACAGTAAGTATGCTGGTAACTAGAGAAAATTTATTGTCCCTTTCACGAGTCCAGTTTCCTGTGTCTCTGTTTAGTTCATGTGTGAAGGAGAAGGCTCTCATTTTCCAGATATTGTGGAGTAGTAGAAAAATAGAGGCATGAATGAGCTAATAGTTTAGTTTTATTCAAAGAGATGCCAAGGAAGCAAAATCTAGGGCTTGAGAGGTAAGCGGAATAACTGTCCCCCCAAAAGAAACATTTAGATTAATCCTAATTAATGTACTGCCTCAGCAGAGACTTGGGATGATGAAGGCTGAGGTTGATACCTCTTCTTCAGCCTTTTTCCTAATGGTGCTTCAGCTTGTTTCCTTAGAGAGTTAAAAGGAGGTCTGTGGTGATTTTCTAAGACAGAGAGGCAAAGAAAGAAAGAAAGAAAGAAAGAAAGAAAGAAAGAAAGAAAGAAAGAAAGAAAGGAAGGAAGGAAGGAAGGAAGGAAAGAAAGGAAAGAAAAGAAAGAGAGAAAGGAAGGAAGGAAGGGTATTGTGTGAGCAGCAGACCTTGTGTCCCACACAGCTGTTCCCTGGTGGAACATTAAAAAGATACACAGATTGCTCATCAGAAAGCTCTACAATTTCCCTGGAAAAGCTCTGGAAATGAGCTCTTGATGAACCACTTGCTTGTTCAGAGGAGATGCCAATGTGCTCCTGCCCAGGTTCATGTCAGGGCAGCATCACCATGGTTGCTGAGTTCAGAAAGACCAGGGTTTCCTCGGAGAAATGTTCTGTTTGGAAATGATGTATTATGGACTAAGTTGGTAGCATGGTCATTTCCCAGGAGGCTAAAAAGGAGGAGTGCAGCAGCTTCATGCACGGACCAGGGGATTGGAGTCTGTTTCACTTAACGGGGAGCTTTGCAGAGCTTCCACATCCTGAGAATATGTGTAGGTGTATTTATAAGAGTTTTCCCTGGGAAGTGCCTTTACTGTCCTGAATCAGAGGAATTCCTTGTTCCAGATGATGCTCTGGTGTCACTATCACAATTTTGTTCATCACCTAACTGCCTATTGCTCCCTCCAACTCTAGCTCACTCCCCAGAATTGCCTTGTCACTGCTTTCTACATTAGCTGTACTTTCGTTGATTGCTTATTCCTATCTATAGCTCAATTAATCCTTCCTTTCCTAAAGGATAGAAAAGACTACGTGCATTGTATTTTGAATTATGTTGTTGATGTTTGCCATTGGTATAATATTGCTTGGAGATTTTGATAACTGCTTTATTGATAATAGTTATCTGTTTAAGACCATTACAGGTTTGCTTATTTCATTGTTAATGCTGTTAATTTAATGGTGAAAATTAACTCTTGGGATTCTGGTGCTTTTTAGGTTATTAAGAGAAGCCTCTGTCATGGTTACTGTGATCTTAGTCTTCTGACAGCCTTCTTTCATCTAAAGTCCTTGCCTTTTTAATTTTTAAAATTTTTTTTTAGTATTTTTTTATTTTTTTTCTCCTCTCAGATTTAATTTCTGTATCCCACAGTGTAGATATATGCTGGTGATGAGTGGGCAGTATAGACAATGTGTATTAATGTATGTCATGAGGCCCACAGTGTTAGATGTCTGTCAGGAAAAGCAGTCTGTCCTCTCATGAGTTTACTGTGTAACTTGCATGTTTTCAGCTAAATTTGAAATATTCAGGTGATGGAGGCAGTTGAACCCATTGAACCCATGGTAACCCTCATTGCAGTCAAGGGTTGTATTTATTTATCTTAGGACCAGTTTAAGACATTATTAGCAACATTATGGTATCCCACTCCTAAGGGGAAGGGAGCTCCCAGGATTTGTAGGTGCTCATTGTTGAAAGGAACAACAAAAGTCAGCGTGTCCACAGAAGCTTACAAAGTTTTATTAGTAAATTACACTTGGCATGAAAATTGTTAATCCCTGAACTTCTAGTATAAGCACACAGCAGTGGGGTTTGGATAAAGGGGTAGGGTAAAAGGGAAGAGAGATGAATTAAAGAGGGGAAGAGAGAGAGAAAGGAAGAAAGTGAGAAAAAGAGATCACCAGTCCTGGCAGCAGCACTGATGGGGTGTCCAGTCCTGGGGCACACGCAGGGCACGCCTGGGCTTTGTTGGGGTATCTTTTTATAGATTAGTTTTCCCCACCTTGAAAACAGGGCTCTTGCTTTCTATGGAAATCAAGTTACCATGTGCACCCTATTCTTCCAGACCTTTCTGAAAATGTGTTGGAGGCTCTTGGGTGGACTTGATCTCCCCCACACAGTCCATGCCCATTTCTTGACCTCATTCCTGCACTTGAGCTGTGCTTATCTCTGGGAGCCCAAACAAGGACGTTTGCCCCAGAAAAGTGCTGCCCTTATCTCCACATAGCCCCCTTCTCCAGCCACATCCTGTTCTTTCTCACATGTTATTGCCAACAATCCCTGGCTGTTATTACCAACAATCCTTGGTCAGCTTCAGGACTATCCAGCTGTCTCGGTGTTTGAAACATGCATATTAGCGCCTTATCTTCTGGGCTTCTGCAGACATGCAGTGAGCATAAACACACTGCCAGAGAAACGCTGTGATTTCCATCTGTCCTGATTGCCTTTTAGATGTAATTTAATGATCTGATTAAACAGTAACATTTTCAGTACATGGGAAGGTCATTTGTAGGAAGAAGAGAAGCCACATGGTAGGAATGACTTAGTCGAACAAGTTCATTTCTTTTGCATGGAGCGGTGTGTGTCCCAGATGAGCAGCTCCTCTGACATGTGAGAGCAGTGAGCTTGCTTTAGAAAGTAGCATTTTGATGCACAAGGGTAATAACGAACAGTTTTTTTGCAGTACCATATGGTGTTATTAACAAACAAATCATATGTTAACTTGACAGCTCTACCTTCACGCTAACTTAGGCTGCAGCAAACATTAATTCCCCTGAGATGAAATCTGGAGCAATACTAAGCTTTGGGATTGTATCCAGAGCAGTCACAGTAGCACAGAAGTGATGAATTTCAGTCTTTCTAACCTCCAATACATGTGCTCCTGCAATTTATTGGTTTCTTTATCGGCTTTGCAAAAACACAGCAAACCAAAGCCCTGTTGAAGCGGATGGAACAGGGAGTGTTCATGCATCTGCCTAACAGGGCTGCAGGGAGGGGAGCTGCTGTTTGAAATGCGTTTTTCCTGATGCAGAGAGCTATGATAAACTGATGGATATTTCATCTGGTGCACTCTGCTGCTGAAATTCAAACTGCAGCTCTGCTTCACTGCAGCCCTGGGGCAGGAGCTAATTCCACCACAGGACTGGGGGACCCAAGGCATCAAAGGAGGGAATGGTATGTGGAGGAGGGAGGAGGGAGAATGGGTACATTACTTTTAATTGCCTTCTTGTTTAACCCCCTAGCTGTTTTCAAGTTTTCTAACTGAAATCTCATCTTGGTACAGTGTATAAATCCCCTGAATACGAATCTCTTGGATTTGACCTGACCGTAGAAAGATTAGTTTCCATTGGATACCCTCATGAGCTGCTCAATTTTGTGTATGATCCTGCATTCCCTACCAGGTAAATGACTGACAGATACCCATCTCGCCTGCTCGAGGCCTGGAGTACTTGTTCTGTGAAGTTCACAGGCGACATGTGAGGCCAGGTTTTCAGATGTGGATTGAAGCCTATGGCTGGCCACAGATCATGGGGAAGGGAGAAGATAAATCCAGTATGTGGGGGGCCTTTGCACACATGAACCCTTGCCAGCAAATAGGGAGTATGTAAGAAAAGAATCCTACTGAAAACATGGTCCAAAAATAGCCCTTCAAAGCAAAGACAGCAGAGACACAATTGGAGTGGGAGTGAAATCAGAATCAGAGAGAAGAAGCCATTACTGTCCAAGGCTGCTGGGATGTCTCAGAACATTTTCTTTAATGATTTTAATTAGTAGTGTCGTGGTGTGTAAGACATCCTGAAAATTAAGCTGACAGTAAACAAGAATAGAAATGGGACCAATCTAGCTCTCCTGTTGAGATGAATCAAATGTCAAAAGCATTTGACTCAGTAACTTTTTGATTTTATAACTTTGTACTAAGTTAATGGTGCAAAATTACTAAATTCTTATATTTTGTCTTTTGGTGGGAGAGGTAAAAAGGGCATTGTTTATTTTGAACAAAGCTTTTGATCTAACTCTGCACCTCCAAGTTCTTTCTACTTGTGCCTTTGCTGGATTTTGCTTCTTTGACTCGTTTGGAGTTTCTTTGCAAAAGACTGGACCAGAGGATCTGTTGGTTTGACCCAGTTTCAGTCTGGCAGCCTCCTTCCTTCCCTCATCTCAGCGTGTTTTACACTGAGAGTTGCTGCTGGCTGCACCCTTGCCCATAACAAGGCATAGCCCCTCACAAACCTGTGATGAGAACTCTGTTAAATCCACTACCTTCATCCCAGGGAGGGGACAGAAGGGGTATCTCTGTGGGGAGGCTGCATTCTCCAAATGCAAGCTGCTGGATAAATGAGACAGAGTTTTGCCAGAGTCAGAACTGGGCATGTCCAAAATGTTGTGCCATGGTTACGTGCCTCATCTGGCTTTGTCTGTGACAAAGCCATGCAAAAGCAGAGAGAAATTCCTTTATCACACCTCACTGTTCCCTGCAGCCTGACAGGGGTGTCAGGTTTGTGAGCCTGTGGAAGAGGCCCACAGCTCCCCTGGTAGATGCACAGTTGAGCCTCTTGGGTTAAATGCTTCAGGTGTCTCTCCTGCCTCGTGATGCTGGGCTCTGGTTGCTCACCTGCTGCCAGCTAAAAGGGACAGTAGGGACCCCATCTGCCTCATAACAGCAGCCCTGTTCTGATGTCCCATGCCAAGTGAGCAAAGCTGTTCTAGAGCTGTTCTAGCTGCTGTTAAAATGGTCACCCCTTAATGCACTTGCCTTTTCATATCCTAAATTGCTTTCTTAACAGAGGCCTGGTGTTTGACACCCACTATGGAAACCTGCTGAAAGTTGATGCCTATGGGAACCTCCTAGTATGTGCACATGGCTTTAATTTCCTCAGAGGGTGAGTGCAGACTCTTGGCTGTTCTTTTTTACTTAATAAGGTCTGTTGTGTCAATGATCCTTAGGGCATACACTGTATATGGAGTTGCAGAGACTCTCCTAACAGCAGATGCTGTGTTGGTGTTCCTACAGCTCCAGGATTGGCTGTGGATGAATTGAGAGTCTCAGGTACAGCAACAGCCCAGATGTTTACAAAGGAAAGGGCTGTGCCAGCCACATCTGTAGCATGCTGGGAATAGAGGAACATGTGCTCTGGGGCAGAGTTGATGGAATCATCCGGGGCTGTTCACCTGTCCTGGCACAGTTTAATGTCAGCAGCTTGTCAAGACAAAGCCATTGCATGAGGACCTGTGCCCCATGAGGCTGTCAGCTCCACAGCCATTGCTAAGAAAGTTTGAGGGCCTCAGCTGGTTTGGGGTAGGAATAATCTTGCTCTACCCCTTTGTGTTTCTGACCTTTGAGGGTGTTAGAACTGAGCATTGCATGCCATTTCCTGCAGCCTTCCCTGACTTCTTGTGTTTCTTGTCCCAGAGAAGGTCCTCTCTCTTCCTTTAGGAAGCAGAGAGGACTGCAGTGCCATGTTCCTGATACATCCCAGCAAATCCCCCCTCCCACATTCCTGCTGCAAGGGCATATGAATTGAAGGCAAGGCACTCTCAGGGGCCCCAGGGTGACAAACTTTGTCTTTGCAGGCCTGTAAGTCCTTGCATCGGGACTCCAAAGTTTAGGAAAAAAGCCCTTATATGTGCACTCAAGTTCCTCTTTGAGCCCAAAATGATCTTTAGTAGCTCCAGAAATTAAGGAGACCGTAATAATGATATGAGTTCAGTCATTGCCACCCTGCTGATGAATTGCAGAGGGCCCCAAGCCAGCCTCCTCCAGCAGAGCCCTGCACACCCCTGGCTGAGAGCTGCTGGGAGAGCAGAGAGCAACACTTGGAAAGTGGGGGAGAGTTTAAGATAAGCAAACAATGAAAGTGCAGATGATTTAAAGCATCCTTCTAGCTGGCAGCATGGGGCTTAAGGTCAAGCTGTGGACTCTGGACCACTCTGTCCCTGTGTGGGCTCTGCTCAGTTTGCTGACTCAGTGATAAGGGCTTTGTCCTGGCTCTGCTGGAGTCAGCATGGCCCAGGGAACACCCCTGGATGCACTTTTGCTCTTGTGCCAACAGTGCATGTGGGGAAGCTGGGTGTTGATTAAAGCACAGTAGAGTTTGGTTAGTGGAACCTGCTACGACTCCATTTCACAGGTCAGCACATTTTACCTTCATTATGTTTTATGGTTTCACTCTACTTCACTTTATTTGTTCTCAGGCCTGAAACACGGGAGCAATATCCAAATAAATTTATCCAGAGGGATGACACAGATAGGTTTTACATTTTGAACACGTTATTCAATCTACCAGGTGAGTCTAATGTGAGCCAACACAGGCTTCTTTCTGTGCCTTTTAAGCCAGTAAAGCATTGCTGATGTTGTACACTGCTTTTCTGTTTGAGTTTTTTTTTACATGAATTTTCTTCCTTTGGGCACAAGGTCTAAAGTTAGCTGGCTGTATGATGTTATCTTTGTTTTATGATCTCACTGTTTCCTTGCAGAGACCTACCTGTTGGCTTGCCTGGTGGATTTCTTTACTAACTGTGACCGGTACACGAGGTTTGTATTCCCTCCACTTTGAGATGATGATGGAACAGTACAATTATTATTTTATACAAGAGCAATAGAGCACAGATGGAACTGCTCTTATTATCAGTGGAGGCCCCTCAAGTGGTTTTGGTGGGCCTCCTATAATTTTGTGGTGCTGAGTTGATCTGTGTGTTCAGCAGAGGCTGGTTATGAAAGTTTCCTTCACAGGGTACAGCAGTACCAACATCCTGACTACAGTGATATTTGAGGCAGCTTCCAGGACCACACACTTTTTACAGGGTGATTACAGGCACCATTCAGTTCATTTTGAACCTGTGTCCATTGGAGCCATGTCTGAACTGGTAACTGAAAGATTTCCTCAGCCAGTTACCCAAGTGCTTCGTGTAGTAATAAAGGACATTGCACACTTAGAGGTGAAGTGCTCAGTGTGGTATAAAAGGCTGTTTGTGCAGCATGAGCATTTACCTTGCTGCCAAAAACATGTAAGCATAAAAATAAACTGTGGTTTGAACTGGCAAATGTGAATGCTGCTGTGCTGCTCATCACCTCATGTGATGGGTCATCTTTGCATATATGTGAGTTGAAGGCAAAGGTTTAATGTGATTTCACCTGGGAGCTGAGGAACTGTTTATGCTGGCAATCCATCAGGTGAAGTACCTTTTCTCAGGAGAGGCATGATGATTGCTGTCATAATAAATACAGCTCTGTGTAATTCTTCTTGATTTCTTCTGATGCAAGCTGTCATGCTGTCTCAAAGATATCTCCAGAGTATCTTGTAATTTCTAATGTTAATTCTAAGTGTTCAACATAGAAGCAGTTCCTCTTCTCAGCAACATTACATTTAGTTGATTTCCATGACACTCCCTTCTTTAGTGCTGGAAAGAGGGAGAAAGAGCACCACTCCGTTTCTTCCCTCAGTACCATTCATCTTCTGTTAAATGCTGCAAACAGCATTTTTGCAGCCTTTTTACCTTCTTGTAAATGTGGGTGAGAAGTAAGAGTTACAGTCACAGAAAGCTGTAGTACTGCTGTGGGAGCACAGACATTCCTGGGTAACACACAGATCCTGTCAAAATGCAGTTGTAGCCTTCTTTCAAGTCTGAGCTGCAGTAAAGTAGTAGATAAGAAACCATGATGGTAAGATGAAAACACAAGCTCCAAACAGCATTTTGAGCTGTCTTGCTCCTTGGTGTGTTTCTTACCTGCTGTGACTGGCTGCTAAAATCTCTCTTCTGTCTCCTCACAGCTGTGAAACAGGGTTTAAGGATGGAGACCTCTTCATGTCCTTCAGGAGTATGTTCCAGGATGTCAGAGATGCTGTTGACTGGGTTCATTACAAGGTGACTGCAAGAACTCCGTGGGATGTGTGTGGTTGTAACTGGGTTGGAGGGGCTGGTTTGTAACTCCTGAGTTCAGATGTGCTTTGCTTGCTCTGGGCAAGAGCCCTGCTTTGCCGCCTAGTGAGCAAATAATAGATTGCAGTTGTGTAGGAGCAAGTCAAGATCTCAACTGCCCTCCTAGTATGGGAACATATCTGGCTTGGCTTCCTATTCCTTTTTATTGTGCCCAGATTTCATTTTTGTACTGTAATTCATGGGTTTTAGAGCATGATGCCACAAGGGTATTTGCACTTCAAGTCCACAACTTGTACATTGTCCTAATTATTAAAGCAGTATTCTACTGCAGATTGTTTACATTGGCACTAAACAATGTTGTCTAAAAAGTATTGGCATTGAAGAGAGAAATAGATCAGCTGTTCTCTAATTAGAGAGAAGCATTTCATCTTCTGCACACTCTTGTGCACAAATTTAGAATATAATTTTGTGAGCATTAACGTATGGTTAAAGACCTGATTTTCTTGTTCTCCCTCATTCAATCAGTCTGTTGGGTGGGATGGAGAACCATCACAGGAGAACTCTGCTCACAGTTGTACTTGTGGTGGTCCTTTTACCCATGCAGAAGTCAGGAATCTATTTTTCTTTCCTTATGCAGTGTTGTGTGATACATGTTGGAGTTGGCCTTTGACTAAAGCATTATGGTCAGTGTTGGAGACAGGTCGTTAACTGTCTTGTTTGGTATGCCAAATCTATTTTTTGTTTGTTTCTATTGTATTCCCTTCTGAAAGGGTTAAAATGCTGTTGAAGTGGATTATTTACCATGGTGAGGGAATCGATGGATCACAGAGTTTGTGATGGTCCCTGCTACTCAAAGCCTCTCATCTCTAGAGTCACTGGTTCAGATTCGCCCTGGTTTGTACTTTCACAGCATTTTAAAGTGTGAAAGTTGGCATTACTTTGTTGTCTCTTACATCATAAGTTTCCATGACCTCACTGGGTTCTGTTGTTTCTATTTCAGGGATCGCTCAAGGAAAAGACCCTTGAGAATCTGGAGAAGTATGTGGTGAAAGATGTAAGTGTGAAGTTACTTTACTTGTGCTATGTGACATTCGGTACTGACTAAGCAGGCAAGAAATAAACATGCTGATTTGCTGTACTAAATCACAAAACAGATAAGGCTGTGATTTATATTGTAATAACCAAAGACAAAGTAGAAAGTTCAGATGCAGCCTTTATTCTGAGCCAGTGATCCACATGATTTTGTATTGATGTGCACAGTTTTATATGAAAAATATAAAAGCTAGAGGAAATGTTATCAAGGTGAACACACTGGCAAAGATCACGTTTCTTTCAGTGATGAAAGCAACTGTGTTCCCTGCTCTTATTTTTCTGCCCAAGCAAACCTCTCTTTAAAAAGCAACAGTTGAGCATTGTTTCAGCCACATGACAAAAAAGTTACACTTAGCCATGAGGAACTGAGGGAAAGATCCTGAAAGACTCACCAATGTCTAGTCTCTTGATAACCCCAAAATGTGTGTTTAGCACATCTAACATGTGTTCAGCAAGCTCCAGTGGTTCCCTTACTCCTGGCACCTCTGCAGTGTGCAAGGCCCCTCTGGACCACTTATGAAGTAAGTATTTTTTAGTTTAGATGAGCTCTGTGGTAAATTATCACTTTAAAGCAGTTAATCTTGTTTCTAGTTACACGCCTACAGAATTCTTAGGTAACTGTTCAGTGAGGTAATCAGCTATTTTGGCAATGGACTGAGATTTCAGATTCAATAAAAATAGCCCCAGGAATAAATTCTCCCTAATTTGAGGTTGGAATTATAATGCATTCCAACTTGTGGCTCGTGAGCTCAGATTTCACCTGCCTCTGGGCCCATTTCGGGAACGGACTTGGAGCTGGAGCAGATCGGTGGGAGCAGCACAGGGTGCCTGGCACTGTGGTTGGCAAAGGCACTGCAGCCCTGCTGAGCCCTTCCCCCTCGCCTTCCTCCCCTGGGCTGTGCTCTGGAGGGGTTACCTGGATGGACCAGCAGCTTTCCTGGCTCTGGCCAGTGCGCAACACGTGAGTTTGCTTGCTCGATGGTTTGATTTGCCTTTTTTTTTTTGTCTGGTGGGATCATAGTTGAGTGTTTTTCCCATGAGGAATGTCTGCAACTTTTGTGTATGACTTGGATGTTCCCCTTGGCTTCCAGGGGAAGCTGCCACTGCTGCTCAGCCGCATGAATGAAGTGGGGAAGGTGTTTCTTGTCACAAACAGCGATTATAAATACACAGACGTAAGTGCTGCTTGAGTTGTTGGGTTGCTATATCATGGAATAAGCAGAAGCCAGCCAGTCATTTGGATGGGTTTTGATGGGACATCTTCTGGTGGAGAATCATGTATTTTCTAATCTAGGATGGGTTACTGGTGGATGCAGATGAAGTCTTGAGTCACCTCTTGTCGTCCTGGTTCTGGCACTGAGCTAGTACAGGCCTGGTTTAAGTCCCACTGTTTCACTCAGTTCCTCCAGCAATTAAAAGGCTGTAAGGGAAAGTTATACTCCATTTTGGATTTTAGCATCCTTTAAAATGCAGACTTTCTGTTTCAAGTGAGACAGATAGTCTGAATACAAACAGGTCACCAAACCAAGGTCCTGGAGAGGTCTGAGCAGAAAGGGCTGTCTGCTAAGCTGAGAAATAAACACAATTACTCCCAACTCCAGGTGAATGTCAGGATGTTGCAGCACTGCTAATCTAAAGATTTATATGCCATTTTAAAGCATTGCAAGATATACCTGAAGCAGTGTGCAGTTTTCTGAGGTGACTGTGTTATTTGATTATAAAAACTACTGGTTTGATTCCTATCATTGTCCTGCTTTATTCATTTTGTCTCCAAACCTTATGCTGACTTCTGTGTAAATTCTAAAAATAAAGTTCTGTAGTCTGAAAAGATAAAATCAGAAAAGTATGTTTTTATAAACTACACAAATGCATGTTGAAAAGCACATATTTGAATACTTTCTTTCTCTCTTTTAGAAAATTATGACTTACTTGTTTGACTTTCCACATGGACCAAAGGTATGTGAATTCTAGACTGAAGTTGCAGTAGACACTGATGTGCCTAATTATCTGTGTAGCTGGAAAGCATTTTAATCCTGCTTCATCGGCTGCATGGGATTAGTTGCTTTAATCTGCTTAAAATACACTTGCTGTTTTGTGTTCTGTTTGAATGGGATCAAAGCAAATACAATATAACAAAGAGAAAAGGGGCATCTTCTGGTCTCAATTGATAATCTGTGTTAATCATAACATTATTTCAGTGATAAAACATTTCAATTGTGGCATTTTGTAGCCAGATTTTTTAGAAATAATGCACAATGGTTTAGATGTTGTTAAAAAAAGCCATGATGGAAAGGAAATAGTTTTATAAAACAGCAGAAATGTTTATGGCTGATTGTGCCTTAATTATCGTAACTCAAAAAGTTTTAGTCATGCTTTTTTTTTTTGTTGTTTTTCTGAGGTCAAAATTCAGCCCTGCAACTTCTGGAGAAAGGTTTAAGATACAAATTTATGCTGCTCTTTCAGTCTCCCAGTGAGAGGCTATCTCATGTTCAAAAGATGTGTTCTTACATTGCTTTAAAAGCAGAAGGCAGCCAAGAGGGAAATTTTGAGAGTGTAGATACTCACCACAACGATAGCTAAGGAAGCCCCTTGCTGTGGTTTTGATCTCACAAAGTGCGGAAACACGGAGCAGAAAGGGCTCAGTATCCTTTGGGCAGGGCTGTGATTCGAAGCCATGCTCTGTGGAATAGAGTCCAGGCATTTTCCCACTCTTGGCAAAAGTACCAGCATGGCCTTGTAAGCTAGAGGTGTGGAGTTGCTGTGTCTGGGTGTGTGCGGGATGTCACCTTCAGGAGCAGTGGCAGAGTGTCATTTACCACATCTTTTTACGTGTCAGCTGTGCCCTGACAGGGATGTTCAGTGCTGTTCTGTCTCACACCATGTCCTCAGCCCCCACTTCTAGGGCTGGGATGGGTTTGTGGCAGAAGGGGAATGCTTTAGGAGATGGTGCTGGCAACCCAGCATTGTACCACAGGAGGCATGAGCTAAAGGATTTTGATGGTCCAGCAGTGTCACAAGGTTATGGCCATGGACAGCGACACTCCAGTCAAACTTCCTGTGGTCTTTTTGTGTCATGCCTGATTCTGGGGTTTGTTTTTGCCTTTGTAGCCTGGGAGTGCCCATCGGCCATGGCAGTCCTACTTTGACCTGATCCTGGTGGATGCACGAAAACCCCTCTTCTTTGGGGAAGGCACTGTATTGCGGCAGGTGGACACGGTGAGTGGTCAGGGGAGGGTACCTCCATGGCTGGAAGGGCTCCTGCACCTCCTGTATGGCATCTCTCAGTGACAGTGGGCAATGCAGTGTTTGGACAGGACCTACCCTAGAGACTGGGCTGGAGTCTCCTCTTAGTGATTCCTGAGCAACCCCATCACCTCAAGGCTTTGCTGGCTTCCCTGACATACTGCAGATGACAGTAGGAAACCCACCTCTGAGCTGCTTGGGAGTGAGACAGACAAAGAGTGATGTGTCAGTTGTATCAATATAGAAAAGATCCAGACCATCAGCTGTTCAGCACTAACACAACACCTCCTTCCACAGGTGACTGGCAAGCTGAAGATTGGTACTTACACTGGCCCGCTGCAGCATGGCATTGTGTACTCGGGAGGTGAGGAAGGAGCCCTTCTTGTTGTGTGGAGTGGCTCTGATGTGGCCTTCAGCCACTCCAGCTCTGAGAGGACTTGTTCCAGGCATGGTTGTGCTTCCCAAAGCGCATTGCTTTGTGCCCTCTGCACACTGCACCAGAAACTCTCCATGATCAGAGCTGCACAGTGCAGGGAAGAGATGTGTAGAGATGGGCCCGTTACTCCTCAAATGGCCTTTTCTTCCTTGCCAGGGAGGGTCTGGGAAATGTCTGCAGGGCTTGTGGTGGAGAGATGGCTGCACTGGCCCAGTGCAGTGTCCCCAGCTGTACTTAAAGGTGCTGCCACCAGCGTGAACACACTTGGAGGGTTCCACCAAGCCAGAGAAGGGCAGTGGGTGGATACAGAGCTATCTGTGACAACCAGGGCTCCACTACTCTCACATGGGGGGGGTGCATGGCCTCTGTTGCTGCCATTCATGTTGGGGTGTACATAGGCAAAGCTGCTCCTGGGGGAGCTCCCAGGCAGGTGAGCAGCGTCCAGGGCAGCCATGGTCAAGCAGGGGAGGTTCCTGGGAGGAAAATGCACCTGTTTTGGCTCACTGTTCTGAGCCATGCCATTCTTCTCTCAGGCTCTTCGGACACAGTCTGTGACCTGCTGGGGGCCAAAGGGAAGGATATCTTGTACATCGGAGACCATATCTTTGGAGACATCCTCAAATCCAAGAAACGCCAGGGCTGGCGGACCTTCCTGGTGATCCCTGAGCTGGCGCAGGAGCTGCACGTCTGGACAGACAAAAGCGGTCAGGAGCCGGGCAACCCCCTGGCCAGGCTTTGCTCTTGCTTGTCTGATGCTGCACCCCTGAGATCGCCAGGGCTTAGGGGTGCAGGGGAGAGATCACCCTGGCTTGCCACTTCTCCTTTCAGCCCTTTTCACTGGGTCTAGATGCTGGTGGCAGGAGCTGGGGTGCCTCTCTGTGGGCTGGCCTTGGGGTCCCAGGCCTTTCCTGTGCTGTTTCCCAGGCTATGGATTGTAATCAGCCAAGTGCTGCCTTGGCCACAGGAGAAGCTGCAGCTGGGTGGGGTTGAGTTTTTCCTCAATAACCCCAGAACCTCCTCCCTTCTCTGCATATATGGAGCCTTGGCTTCTATGCTAAAAAAATATCTGATAAGACCTGGGTTATTCTCCCTGTAATGCCTGAGCCATGACTGCTCTCCCATCTGCAGGGAGTCCCTATTCACCAGCTGCTTCCTCCTCGTTCCTCCCACTCCCTCTGCTGCTCTGCCGCCAAAGTGCTGTGTGTTTTCCATCCTCCAGCGCTCCTGCTTTTCTCCCAGGTTTGCCCTTTGGTGTGTAGATAGGGCTGGGGGTTATGCAAGTTGCCCCATGGCTGGTTGGAAAGCTTTGGTGAGAGCTGCAAAGGTTCAGCCTCCAAAACAAAAGGGCCAACCAGAAACCAAGCCCAAAGTTCTGCCCATGGCAGAGAATGTGATTGACCCCTCTTCCTGCCCAGAGGCCGTGAGATGCCTCCAGTTTCCCTGCTCCAGTGTCCCTTTGCCACCATGCGAGGGGAGTGGGCAGGGAAGTGGGTTCACTTCCAGCACTTTTCATTTCAACAGTTTAAACTTACCCTTCTCCCCTTTCTTTTCTGGATTTTCCAGCCCTTTTTGAAGAGCTGCAGAGTCTGGACATTTTCTTGGCCGAGCTGTACAAGTGAGTGTTCAAACAGTGACAACTTTCATGCTGCCTCTCCCAGCTAATGAGTGGCAGTGACAAAACCTCGGGGTTGGGTTAGTGGCTCTGCTGCTGGAGCCTTGACTTGGGCCTGGGCTCTGCCCACGAGACCAACCTTCCCCTCCAGACCAGCCTCCCTCCCCTGAGCCCCATCCCACAGCATCTGGTTCTGAAAGACTTTTCACACCATGTATTTACCTTCTCGCCTGTAACTAGGCATCTGGACAGTAGCAGCAATGAACGCCCCGACATCAGCTCCATCCAGAGACGCATTAAGGTACCAATCATCAAAATCCCTTTTTATCCTTCTGGATCCCAAAGGGCTTAACAACCCAACCCCACTGCTCAGTCCTGAAATGCTTTGCTCTGCCTTTGGGTGGGCACAGCAGGCTTGGCAAAGCCACTTTGTCTCAGCTCACTGGTGTCACTGGCTCTCCTAAAAGGCTGCCTGGTCTGGAATAGGGTGTCTTTCCTCATGCCCACAAGCAGCACTGGCTGAGGGTGCTCATTGCTGCAGCACGCAACAGTGGCACACATAGGCTCACAGGGGCTGTGGCCTCCGGTTCAGCCAGCCCTGGGGTGCCAGCCTAGGGTAGTGCTGGCCCTGAGCCTGCTGCCACCTTCCTTTCTGTTACGTGGGGCTCAGCTGTGCCCTCATACTACGGGATACAAGCACAGAAAGCCTTCCTGGAGATCCTTGCAGGTCTCATGTAGCACCCCCAGCCCTCAGGGTGCTCCGCCTCAGTGTTGTGGCTCTGAGGTGCTGTCTGCCTGGCCCAGATCTAACCTGTTCTTTCGTCATAGAAAGTGACCCACGACATGGATATGTGCTACGGGATGATGGGGAGCCTCTTCCGCAGCGGCTCTCGGCAGACGCTGTTTGCCAGCCAGGTGATGCGCTACGCTGACCTCTATGCAGCCTCCTTCATCAACCTCCTCTACTACCCCTTCAGCTACCTCTTCAGAGCCGCCCACGTTCTGGTGAGTTGCAATCCCAGGGAGGTGGGCAGGGCTCCCAAAGGTGCCCATGCTTGTGCCCATTATCACTTCCACAGGACACAACAGCGCCTTGGAGGGTTTGGTGGCATTTCATAGACTGTGGACCAAATGGTCGCATTTTGGGGTTTGCTCTCCATGTGTCTCAGGGAGGCAGCCTGGGACTGGGACATCCCTTGTCACCTCCTCTCTCTGTTCCATGTGCAGATGCCACACGAGTCCACAGTAGAGCACACACACGTCGACATCAATGAGAAGGAGTCGCCGATGGCCACGCGCAATCGCACCTCGGTGGATTTCAAAGATTCCGACTACAAGCGGCACCAACTGACCCGTTCCATCAGTGAGATCAAACCGCCCAACCTCTTCCCCCAGGCACCTCAGGAAATCACACATTGCCACGATGAAGATGATGATGAGGAAGAGGAGGAGGAAGAAGAAGAGGAGGAGGAGGAAGAGTAAGAAGGAAAAAAACAAGTATTTCTGAAGATAAACCATGACTCTAGCAGTGATCAGGAATGGATTCTGTTGTTGGGGCCCTTGGGGTGATGGGTTGGGGGGTGTGATTCTTGCAAAGGCACATTTTGAAAGTATTTGGAAACTTCTAACAAATTAACACTAATTTGGAGGAGACCCTTGTTTTCAGTTTTGCAGACGGTTCAAAAAGCTGATGGATTCTAACTGGGTGGTGCATTCAGATTGGACTGCCCGCCTGTGCTGTCATGCTACTCCTGTTAGATTTCGGGATGCTGCATGTTTCTCCCTTTCCCATGATGTGTTTCGTTTGGTTCTCATTTGAAGTGTCCTGTGAACGGTTTTTGACATTTGTTACATTCTCTGTGGAGACAGAAGGGATGTTCTGGGACCTGCAGGAGACAAAATTATCCAAATCCTGCTGCCCGTTAGGTTGCTGCCCTTAACCCTCTGCTCCAGGGTTACATAATCCCCCCTCCTCATGTTAGCCAGGGTGTTGCTGTGCCTTCCAGCACTGTTTACCTTCTGTTGGTGTGAGTTTCTCTGTGTAAGTGGTTTGACTCCTCCAGCCATCATGGATGGCAGTGGATTCCAGCTCTTGCACTTCTGCTGCCATACACGTTTCACCTTGTAGCCGCTTGTTACCTTCTCCCAGTGTCTCCAAGCTCTCTCACCATTGCCATGTGATGCATAATTTCCAGGGCATTTCTTAAACAGCTGAGCTCCACACAGTTCTCGACTCCTCCAGTTTCAGCAGTAAATATTAACCCAGGAGCTTGAAGCTGCTGCTTTACCATTACATTAGTCACTCTGTGTTCCTCCTGACCTTTCTGTCCTCTCAATTTTAAGTGAAGCATCCCAAAACCAACCCCAGCCACCATCTGGAGTGAAAGGGCCTGTTGAGCCAGGGGGCTGCAGGCCACATGGGCCTGTCCTAAGCTAGGAAACAGCACATGCCACAGGGCCAGCCCCATGGTGGGAGCCAGGAAGCTCCCGGCCGTCCAGCAGCTGCCCTGGTCTTTGGTCTGGTGCGGAGCAAACGGAGCCTCACTGCTGGCCGTGGTGGGCAAGGCTGCGTCCCTGGCCAAGGAGTGTGATGGCTGCTGCATGGGGGTGTCCCAGGGATGGGCAGGTAGTCCTTGTGCCTGAAAGCCAGCCCAGGGAAGGCACAGAGCTGGCACACAGCTGGGCAGCAGTGCCCTGTGGTTTTCCTCTGAGTCATGGGTGCAGCCTCCCTTACTCCAGCCTCTGCCGTTCGCTGCAAAGGGATTACAACGAGGGCCCTCTTGTAATGAATATGACTGTTGTTTCAGTACCATAAACTCATTTAATTTTTTTCATTTTAAAGTACCTTAGTAGAAAATAAAAGAAGTAAAACTACACCACCAACATCTGAGCAGGAAAATGCTGCTCTAGTGGCAGTTGTTCAAGTCAATAAATGATGATGTTTCTAAGAAATGACTGGTGTTTTGTGGTGTGTTGGTGAAATGAAGAGGGCTGTGGTGGAGTTGGTGGGAAGAGATGGAACTGCTCTGTGGGGTCCCAGCAGGATGGGTGACTGGGCAACAGTGAGAGCATCTTTGGGAATTGGTCTTGTGAAGCACTGGGGAGCAGTGTCAGTGATCTTGCTGTAAGGGCATGCCTGGGCACAAGGCTTCTGTTACCACCATCTGCATCAGCCAGGAAAGCATGGCTGGCAGAGAAACATTCTGTCTTGGACACAGAGAGTGAGGAGGGGCTTTTTCATGGTGGGAAGGGGAACATCCCTACACTGCCATTACCTCCAACGCTGTATCTTCCCAGGACTGTTTCCCACAGATGTTACCAAGGGCCATTTCCTGCCCCTCTGCCCCTGCAAGACACATGGCCAGGGTGGCAGCAGGGCATAGCACAGCCTGTGCTCACCAGGAGCTGCAAACCTGCTTAAACAGACAAGGATACCCAGGGAAGGCCAGTGCTGCCACACAAGGCTGTGCCCAGCTAAGACAGGCAGCCCTGGGCACTGCCGAGCTCAACCCTCCCCTAACAAACAAACTTCTCATATCAACCAAATCAGACCTGAGGAGGTTCCCCCATCAGCACCACCACAGAAGGATATTCAGTCCAGGGCCCAAAGTGCCAGGCAGAAAAGCAATACTAAATGGAAACAGCTGGTTGCCTACACTTAACACCTGACACTTAAGGGGTTGCTGAAAACTCCAGAGCACTGGGTCCCCGACACCTCAGTTTTGGGGTCTGGAGAGGAGCTCACACGTCTCCACAGTGAGGCTGGCTGCAGGAAGAGTTCCAGGGAGCTGCTCCTGAGCCCTTTCACCAAAGGCCATGCTGGGGTCTGCTATGTTTAAACTTTGTTTCTCCAAGTATAGCTACTTGAATTTTTTAAGCTTTAGCTCAGCAGCTGGGGAAGGCATGCGGCTGCAGAAAGGGAGGTCTGGGGAGCTCCATACATTCCTCCGTCCCAGTCGGTCACCACAAATAGCTCACTCCCAGCCCAGGGCTATTTCTGACTGAGATGGGGAGAAGAGTCCTCAAGGCTGGAGCAATGGAAAGTATTTGACCCTCACTTCATGGTGGGAAAATGTCGGGCAAAGCCTGACAGACACGCAGGCACTGCCCGGCCTTGCACCATCCTATCCATCCTGTGCTGGCTCCACCATGAAGTTGTGGTAACCAAGGATCAAGAGCCAGGGCGAAGCTTCTTGCCCCGGCTGGCACTGGGGACATGGTCACAGCCCAGGTTTCCAGCCCACACCTTCCTCAGGCAGCTGCCCATGGCTGATCTGCACCAGCTGCTGCTTCCCAGAAGCTGGTGGCCTGGCAGTACCTGTGTCTCTAGCCACTCTGCAGAGCCTCAGGGAAAGCTCCTGTTGCTCTCTCTGCAACCTGTCCCCCAGCCCAGGGACAGACATGCTTTGCTTTTTCCCATCAGCAGTATTGTCTCCTGCAGCAAAAGCCTGGTGGAAGCAAGATGAGCATGGGGGGAACCAGCCTCACCTGCCCTGAGCTCTCACAGATCTGATTTCTGGTTTGTCCCTCTTTCCCCACCACCTCGTGTCCACCTCCCTTGCTCCATAGAGCCAGAGGGGCTGCACAAACCAAACCCTACCAGACACAGGAACCCGAGGCTCCCTGCCCTAAGCCACAGCCCTGCAGACATCGTGTGTTGGGCACTGCCACTTCTGACCAGGTCAGTCATGAGAGCTGCTCCCAGGTCCTCTTCCTCTGTGCCACCTCCTCACTCAGCAGAGCAAGGCCCAGCTGCAGCTCTGCATCACGATATGCCCAACCATGATGGAGGGTGCAAAGCCCTGTGCCAGTCCCCAAGAAGCCATTCCAGCCTCCAGCCTGAAGCCCCAGCATGGCAATCATGGATAAAGAAATTCTGTAACTGCAGAGCCACTGATCCACTCTGGCCCTGCACAAGGGTGCTTTCCCTCTAGGCCTTAGTGGGCTACTAGGCTGCCAAGCCTGGCCATGGCAGGAGGTACTGCTGGAGCCTTGAGGGCACAGAGCCCTGGGTTCAGCTTTGGGCACTGCTCCCGCCCTGCTGCTGCAGTGGCCTGGACCTGGCAGCCAAAATCCATCCCACCGTGCTGAAGGGATCTGGTCTCTTATACCCTCCCTTCCAGAAGTGCTGGGCTCTCTCTATCCTGCTTCTCCTTCCCATTGCTCATTACCACCAGAATCAGCCCAAAGTTGGCCTCCACACTAATTCTACTTACGTTGTGTTTGTAGCATCCCACCTCCTTCCACGGGCTGCCAGGGCCAGGCACACACAGGGGAGCAGGAGTCCTCAAGGACCTGCCACTCTCTCTGTCCTGCTGATACATCGTGGGGGAGAGAGGCCCAGAGGAATGGGGCCACCCTGCAGCACAGAAGCAGGGACAGAGGCTGCACTGGGTGCAGCAAAAATTCCCACAAGGTTTGAGCAGCTGCTGCCCATCTTGCCAACCCAGGGTTTGTCAGCTCAAGAGCTGAGCCTGATGAAAGCTGGGTGCAGGGAGAGCAGCTGGGTGGAACAGCTGTGAAGAGGAGAGGGGCTGAGGGATGGCAGAAGCACAATATGGGCACGTGGCAGGGCTGTATCAGACACACAAGAAAGGGGCTGTTCCTGCACCAGTGTGAGCTGGAAGTGATGGTGGGCAAGGGACTAAGCACAGGCTCGTTCTCCCACTCAGAAATGTCTCTGTTGATGCAGGCTCTACACAGCTCCACTGGTGAACCCCAGCACGAGGGGAGAAGGCAGCAGCACCCAAGTGCAGGGGAACGGAGGGACTCACTCCACCTACCTCTCCCATCCCACAGAACTGCTGTCATCCCCAGCCACATCCCTCACTGCAGACCCCTGGTCACACCCCACCTGGCAGGAACCCCCACTACAGACAGATGGCATCTACACTCAAGAGACAAACATGACCTATGGAGAGCAGGTTGTAAATAAGGGGTTTTTATTACTGAAAGAAAAAGACCCTCATCCTTGAGGGAACTTCAAAAAGTCAGCTGCTTGCCATTGCCATCAGCTTCCCAGCCAGCCCCTGATCAGCAAAGCCACCAACACAGCCCTCCCCAGCTTCAGGATTTACAGGCCCAGACCCACCAAAGCGACGAGCAACACCTGCCTCTAAAGGAACAAGATCCGACCTCTCTGTGGCTCTTGGCAGCTGAAGTGGAGATTAAAGACTGTTAAATGTGCCAGTAGCAGAGATCTGGGTACAGGATCACAGACATCAGCCCCACCACCCACATGCCAATATCTGTCCCTTGGAAATGAGGGGGGAGCATAGAGGAGGGAAAAATGCATAAACTGGAATGTTCAACAGAAAAAAAAAATCATCATTTATCTAAAAAGAATAGAAATAAACAAAATGCTTTAAAACAAAATCACAAAATATACAAATAAATCTGGTACAAAATAAATAGGAAAGATTGGAAATCTACAACAAAATTGGAATAATTATAAAATTAATTTGTATGACAATCAGTATATGAAACGTATACACTTCATTCAGGATTTCAGTTGTGCTTATTCAGGTTTATGTACACACACGGAAATACTGTAGTCAGAATACTACAACTCTGGAAACCCAAGTCATGTACAATATGATACAATTTGCAAAGACCATGTACGATGGCAAATAAGACACAGGGAAGAGCTGGCTGGAGTGGGATCAGACAGCCATAAAAATGCACTGCAAAGGGAGAGCCACCATGCTCCAGAATGGGGGGACCAAGGCCAAGCCAGCAGCAACCAGGACAGGGCTTTGGGCAGCCAGGAAGGAGAAAGGTTTGGTGTGAGACTTCTGGCTGCTGAGCACCAGCTGCTTGTGGCTTCCAGGTACACATCTCAAGTATTTGGGGTTTCAGATTCACTGTTTGGCATCCAGGCATCTGCTCGGTGATTCAGGTGTCAAGGCAGGCTCTGCTGGAGGAAAAATATGCCAAGAGCTCTGAGGTCCCTCAGCAGGGCCTGACCCCGAACTGCTGGTAAGCCACCCTTGTGCTCAGGAGAACATGGATCAAATGGGACCTCAGCATTGCTGTTGTCCTGGTGGGCTTCCACTTTTCAAATTCCATGTGATCTCCGAGGAAGGCAGAGTCCCTTGAGCAGCATCTCCTACCCTCAGTGTGAGAAATGAAGACAAAAAGGCTGCAGCATGGCCCTCTCCTGACTGCTCCCCTCCTTCTCACCTTCCTTAGCACTCAGCTAATGCCCAGTGAGAGGAGCAGAGGAGCAGCTGTGGCTGATGTGAACACAGCTGTCACAGAAGCCACACTGCTGAATCTAAGCCAGCACAATGCAGAAGGACAGAGCGCGTACCCTGGGTGAAAACCCACCAGCCAAGCCAGCCCAGCCTGCTGGACCTGAGATTTTAAAGCAGGAATGACACCAGAGCCGATCTAGGCCTGGCCAGACTGTCACTTCTGAGAGGAGGAGCTCATCAGGTACCACCCCTCAGCCTCCCACAGTGATCTTTGGGACATGCATTCCATATTGGCACCTCCAAATAAAGGCATCTGACAGCAATCAGTTTTTCACTTGTAATTGGAAGTATTTGGTTCAACAGTGATGCCCAGAGGATAAAACACCACCTACTATTATAAAGCTCTGATCAGTGAACAGTTGAGAAGGGATGCTGGAGTGCTATGCCAAGCAGTGAATGCTGGGAAAAGCCCTTCCTCCCCAACAAATGCTGCTACCAACTGCCACGCTGCTTTCTGGAGGAGAAGACAACAAAGAAATCAAATCCACCCCTGGAGCACTGGAGCCACCTGCAGCCTTGGCATGTTTCAGGCTCACAACAGCTGACAAACCTCTAGCCCGGTTCCATAACAGGCCACTTCTGCAGAGTCCATCCAAACCTCTGCTTCTGGGGAGGATCAAACACCAAGCACTTCCTCAGCCAGAAATCTGCACTGAAGGAGCACCATTGACTGCAGATCAGCCCTACTCAGAGGAA